GGAACTGGTGGGAGTCAGATACTGGTTCAGGGGTACAGTAATTGAAATGGAGGAAAAGAGATTAGTGATTGGAGAGATGACTTGTGGGTTAAATAAACTCAAACAGAGTGCCACTAACCTCTTAGATGAATTTGCTGCTCGTCTTCTGAAAGCATGAACCCTAGAATCCTCACAGGTAATTTCCAGGATGGTTTCTCTGCATAAATTTTCCAATAAAAGCAGGTAGTGAAGTGATCAGGCATGGAGCAAGCTGAGGGCAAAGGCCAAAATCTGTGTCTGCGGTCGGCGTCCGGAAAGCACAGACAAGCGTAGAGTCTGACAGTGGTGAGGCAGAACAATAAAATCCAGAGGGCAGAAGCAAAGTCATAACCAGGAGATCAAAAGTGGTCAAAGAAGTAATGGACATCTACACACAGAATTGCTATCAATAATCTGACAATGTGTCTGTGGAGGGAGCTTAAATAGAGCAGAACACAGGTGAGAGGCAGCAGAGCAATAAGCAGGAACAGGCGAGCTGAATTAACAGATTACTGCCTCACGTGAGCACTGGAAACAAACAAAGACTGAAACATGACAATAACTTCCTGAACATCCTTTGGATTCATCCCAGTTCAAGATGGCTGTTACAGCCAAGTGACATTATAAAACACAAGCATTTCTAAATATCAGCCAATTTTAAAGATACGCAACATAAACTCCAACTACTAAGAGATGAAGTAATGCACGACTGATCAAAATGATGTCAAGGTTTGACTAAAACACTAGAACTCCCCCATCATCTTAATATTAATGAATTTAGTCTAAGACACTGGCTGAAAGGCAGCGGGTGATATAAAATCCTTCCAGGATTGATAGACTTTACTTGTTTTTAGTTTTACATACTGTACATGTATATCTGTATAATTATTTTATAACTCTGCAGAAAGTAAAGACAAAATCCCCCAAGCACTACTTTGTAATTTTTGACTGCTAGCTCCCTCCTGAGTTTTTAAATCTTTTACTTTATGTTTACCAATGGCTGATTGGCATTTTAAAGGGTTGGTTTGACTATGAAAAGCCCAGCACCACAGTTGGTTAGCACTGGAACCTCAAAGCAAGAGGGTTTAAATCTCAGCAGGTGTCTGCGATGAGTTGATCTCCCTGTGCCTGCATGGGCTTTCTCACTATACTTCCATTTTCTCAAACAGTAAAAAAAAGAAAAGGAAAAACTAGGTTAGAGCAATTGACAATGTTCGAGTGACCCTGTGTGTTTGTGTATGCGTGTGTGTATGTGTGTGTGTATGCGTGTGTGCTTGTCTTGTGTATCTCTGTGTTGAACCTTTAATTGACCAGCAACTTGTCCAGGACATATATATGTCTAAAATATTAACGCTCTAATTGTAAAAGAAGTTGTGAAGTCATTTAGAGGAGAAAATGTGTTTATTTATAGGTTTGATTTGTTCTTCACATAATTGTCATTGTTTATTTTTGATCCTCTGAGTTAAAAGAAAGAAAGAATCACCCAGTTTGTGCTGTAGAGTTCACACGATTCAGGCACTGAAACCATCCTGGAGCTTCGATGTAAAATTAGCTCTGCATCTTTAGTATCACTAGTAAATATTGGCTTTATAGAAGTGAAGTCATAGATGGAAGTATTTGTGTGACAATCAGGATACCTGAAACATTTCTAAATATTCATTCTGCTATCTAAAAATACAACTGACTGACAATGATTAATTTCTTGTACTTTTCACGAATTAAATTAATGGATGTGTGAGAGTTCTTAGTTTTCTCAGCACTCAATGTAGATGAGTTCAAAATCAGAGATGCACTATGATACAAAATATATCCTTAAAGAAATATAATGGCAGGTGATTTATAAGCACTTGAAAGATAAATCTGAACCACCATTCTGAATTTATTTTGCAATTTAATTCAGTTTCAGTTTCATTGAAAAAGTATTCAGTTCAATTAGAATTGGAAGCCAAATTAATTAACACCATCCAGAGGAAGTGAGAAGCTACAAGATTTATTCCTAAGAAGCTCAGGTTCAAAAACTACAACCTCTGTTTTGTCTTAGTTTAAAAGCAGAAAATTAAAGGTCATCCAGGTTTTCATGTTTTTAAGACATGCTTGTAGTCTAAGTAACTGATTAATCAGGTTTCATGGATAAATATAACTGTGTATCATCAGCATAACAATAAAAATGTATCCCATGCTGTTTAATAACTTTACCTAATGGAAGCATACAATATATAAAGTAAAGTGTATTGGTCCATGCATTGAACCCTGAGGAACTCCATGACTAACTTTGGTGTAGAAAGAAGATTCATTATTTACATTTACAAACTGGAATATATCAATTAAGTATGATTTAAACCATTTTAGAGCTGTTCCTGTAATCCCAATATCATATTAAAGCCTATGTAGTAAAAATATTGTGATCAACAAATGCAGCACTGAGGTCTAACAGGACCAGTGTAGCCACAAGCCCATTATCAGAGGGCATGAGAATATCAAATGTAACTTTCACCAGTGCTATTTCTGTGCTACGATGAGCTCTAAAACCTGACTGAAACTCTTCAGATTATTTTGGTTCAGATGTTCACACAACTGACCTGCAACTATTTTCTCAATATTTTTTAATGAATGCTAGATTAGCTAAAGATCTTGACCAGAATTCCTGAATCAAGATCAGGTTTCGTAAGTAAATTTTAATTACAGCAACCTTAAAGCATTGTGGTATGTAACCATTCATTAGAGACAAATTAGGCAAATCCAAAATGTGGGTATTAATTAGGAGAAATACATCTTTAAATAGCCTGGTTGGGATGAAATCTAGCAGACATGTTGATGGTTTGGATGAAGCAATTATTTTTGACAATTCAGAGAGTTGAATAGTACAAAAACAGTCCAAACGTAAATCAGGTTCTTGTGACATTTCTAAAGCTACCTCATCTGACAGGGAATCAGAGGTGATAGTAGGAAGGATGGTATGAGTTTTCTCTCTAATTTAAATAAATTTACTTATTAAAAAGTCTGATTTAACAATCTTTTTGTTGCTGGTGCTCTTTTACCTCTCCTCAGACTAGAAAACTATGAGAGTATATGCAAAACACCCTGGATTATTCATACATATATACCATAGGCTACAGGAAGGTAATTAAAACTGCACTTATATTAAATCTCTGTGAGTGATGCTCACATTATAAAAAAGACAAGAAAATACAACTACTACCGCCACTGCCACACCACTACTACTACTACTACTACTATTACTACTATTACTACTACTACTATTACTACTACTACTACTACTATTACTACTATTACTACTACTACTATTACTACTACTACTACTACTATTACTACTATTACTACTACTACTACTATTACTACTACTACTACTACTATTACTACTACTACTATTACTACTTCTACTACCACTATTACTACTACTACTACTATTACTACTACTACCACTATTACTACTATTACTACTACTACTACTACTATTACTACTTCTACTACTATTACTACTATTACTACTACTACTATTACTACTACTACTACTACTATTACTACTACTACTACTATTACTACTACTACTACTACTACTAGTACTACTACTACTACTACTACTATTACTACTACTACTACTATTTCTACTACTACTACTATTACTACTATTACTACTACTACTACTATTACTACTACTACTACTACTACTACTATTACTACTATTACTACTACGACTACTACTACTACTACTACCACTACTACTACCACTACTACTACTACTACTACTACTACTACTAATAATAATAATAATAATAATAATAATAATAATAGAAAAAGACGAAATAGAAGAAGTAGAAGAAGAAATGCTCTCTTACTGAACTAACCTTTTTTCTTCATGTGTGCTTTACTGTAGTTTCATCCACTAACAGGGGATGAGGAGGAGAAAATTTGCATGAGTGCATGAGTGGAATAAATTAGTTTTGGAAATGATGCATGGAAGTTTATTAACATCTCTGTATGCTGAATACATATGCCAGATAAGTATTTTTAGCATTGCATTTAAATCTGTACTGACAACAAATAAATAAATAAATAAACTGTCAAAATGACAGAATGGGGAAATGATGTGAGAATCCTTCACGTCTAGAACAGACGAATGAAATGTTGAGCAACACTGGTCTCTACTGGCTAAAGATGGGAAGTACAACTCATTTCACTTTTTTTTTTTTTTTTTTTTTTTTTTTTTTTTTTTAGAACATCATAGCAATAGTTTGTAACAGTTTGATCAAATTTGGAATTGACTTTTTTTTTATCTAATCTTGAGATATGATGCTTTTCAATGTTTTTGTATTGTTCACATTATATTTTGCCTTCAGTGTTAAACAGTTCTATATTATATAAAAAATAGGGGGAAATATTCATAAACATTTTATTCTATAGATTTTGAGAGTCTAGAAGCTGAGGCTTTTTAATTTTACAATTACAGTGGCATATTTTTTACTGCAATGTGTTTAAACAACACTTATAGTAATCGTATAAAATGACTTCAGTGATGTGTGACCTTTTTTGTTCACCACCCCTTCGTTTCAAACTCTCCCTGAAGTTGAACTTTTCAAATAAGAGCAAACATTTATCCATGAAGGGAGCACACACAACATTATTCTTGAAAACAGAACACCATCAAAACCAATGTGTTTATTTACCATGATATGTAAAATGTTCATGGGTGCGCAGCATCAACATGAGGAGCCCCAGAAAACAACGTGAAGCATTTGTGAGTTGCATCTATCCATGACATATGAAAATGTTAAATATACAGAATGGGATTTCCAGAAAACAAAAATTATTTAGGAACTAAATAAATCTTGGTTTTCCAGTGAAGGAGAGACAAACTCATAAAGCCTCATTGATTTCAATATTCCTTGTGATGTTGCACCAGAACACACTGTCTGAAAAAGAAATCTGATTTTTGTTCTCATTTTTGTTTTTGTTTTGTTCTTTTAAGATGCCATTATGTACTTTACGAAAGCTTCATAATTTATACACCCGTTAGCATCCTCTTGGTTTTGCATCAGCTGCTCCACTTCATCCTCCCTCATTTTCTCACCTGAAACCAGGAACATTATCAAATCAGTATGCGTTATTAATTCTCCAACCTTCTGAAATCAGCTCAGATTGAGATGCTTAAACTCACCCAGAGTGGCTAAAACATGCCTGAGCTCAGCCCCCATGACTGTGCCGTTCCCCTCTTTGTCAAACACCCTTAATCCCTCCACAAAGTCTTCAAATGTCCCACGATCCTTGGCTTTACAAATGTGTTGATGGATTGGTAGGAATTGGTCAAAGTCAAGCATCTTTGTCTGCATGTCTGAGGAAAGTATCAGTGGGGAAAACATAAAAAGAAAAGATGAAAATGTTTGTTTCTGTGTTGAACCTAATTGTGCTTAAAACGCCATGCATGTTGAACAGAAATAACGCAGCTGATCACACAAGCAACCTTCAGGTTTGGGCTTTCCAAGAACGTGCATGATCTCTGCATTGGTAGGATTCTGGCCCAACGCCCGGATCAAGTCCCCACACTGAGCGTAAGTGATTTTCATCTCATTGTTTGGGGTCCGGTCAAACAGCTGAAAAGCATCTTTGAAGTCTGTAAAAAAAAAAAAGAATGTTGACGACTCCCTGACATTTTTACTAATTTTATTGTCATTCAAGCTGCTGCAAGTAATTATTTGTAACAGCTTGCATGCGATTAAAGAAAAGCAACAAAGAGTTTCACTCTGCTTTAACATTTTCCACGACACATGACTTGAATAGATTATTGGGGAAAAAAAATTAGCATATGTCTGATCTACAGTATCATCACCAACTGTTGCTAAACATCCCTCACATATTGAAGAGATCAGTGTGGGAGCAGACGTTTCTTCTCTATAAATAGCTCCCAGTCCACGCAAAACCAGCAACAAATGAGCCTCACCCTCAATTTGTTCCGGGGTGAATTCCAGCTGAGAAAAGATAAAGCAAACAACGTAATTAGTGGCTGCAGATCACTCAGGGCAGCAGAGACGAAGAGTTTTATTTCAAATAGGAAAAATAAAGACAGAGCAAACTGTTGTGCATAACACCTTGTTATCATGCCATTCCAACAGACCGAGTTACAGACATCATCTGTTCTCATGTAGTTATCGGTGACCTTGGGGCTAATGTGCCATTGTTCACCGCTACGTTTATATTGGTTTATTGATGCAAAAAGACTTTACTCCTATTAATGTCACAGATTTAACAAGGTTAAAATGTCAAGATAAAGTTTTAGAAAATTTGCACAGTAGCATTTAGGTTCACATGTGCTGAAATTGTTGAGCTAGAACAAATATTTTTTCTTCCATATGCTTATTAAAATTTAAAACACAGTCCTATTCTGTTCCCTAATTTTTGTAATGCATGTCTAAAAGTAGGTTTACAGTGATGTAAATGACATTTAGCTGCATTCAGCAGAACATGTCTAGAGTCTTAGTTAATTTATTTTACAGTCATATTAACACGCAAGAGGAATGTCTAATTTAAAGTATAAAAACAAACGTATGTATCACAATCACTTGGAGTTTTTAATTTCTGTGTGTTCTTTGGACGTAAGTCAGCTTGGTGCCCCAAGTTCTTGTTTAACGTCTGGATGTCTACAAACCACAAACTGAACATGAAACTTTGAACAAACATTATCCCAAAACTTATCTAAGCATGTTTAAAGATAGATGGAATAGAGCTGTAATTATCTATATTTTTCTTCCTTCTAGCTTTTCCACCCTTTTCCCCCTTCTGTGCAAAGGGGTGCGGGTGGTCGGCCATCCCCAGACATAATGAAAATCATATTCTGTGGCTTTAACCATTGTAACATGGCGGCTTTCTCAACCAGGAAAACATTCATCCACTGAGAAGGGGCCAAGTCAGCAGAAACTAAACTTTCCAAGATGCACTAATTACAACTGGCCTTGACAGTCTCACAGCGTCCCTTTGCCTGCATTGCTCTGTATGCTCGTAGTTTACCACATATTCTGTAAAGCTGCGCAGAAGTGTTGAGCTCACATGGGGTCTCTGACACTCAAAACATGTCTGATAGCACTGAACACTTTGAGTCATATCATCTAAATAATAGAAGCAAACTCTAAGTCTCACATTCGATAAAGAATTACAACACAACATAGCTGTAATAAATTTAAAAATAAATCCGTGAATTCAGCACCTCTGCATTGGAAAGTGATGATGAGGATTTACCGTCACTGATGATGGGTCAAACTCCGGGGTCTTGGGGCGCTCGGGCTCTGGGGGCTTGGGCGCTGCTGGTGCAGCAGGCTTTGGCTCTTCCTTTTTTTTAGGAGCCATTGCAAGAGACACTCAGGACTGAAAAGGCAAAGGAACCCTGTGCTCTGCGTATAAAGGTGGGCAACTAAAGCCCCTTTATCCTCTGACCACAGGTGTCTCCTCCACCCCCCTTTCTATGTCCAACCAGGCTGCCAACAACAGGGAGAGGACTATAAAAGGATATGCCTTTGTGCTTCTATTTAAGACAAACCTTTGTTGTTGTGTTTCTTTGTGGGCATGTGTCTGCATGTGTGTGTGTGTGTGTGGAAAACGACATTAGCTGAAATCTCAGGGGTAGAACCCTCTATTAAACAGGCTATTTTAATCAGCACAAGGAAGATCTCGCCTGAACTCATCAATTTTCAGCCGCTGACCTTGTCCATTGAAGTGTGGCAGTTTCAAGGAAGGAGGGGAACAAGACAGCCATGATTGCTTAAAACGCGAGTAGAAGGTGCATGAGTGTGCATCCCACAATGCAGAGTGATGAACAGCAATTATCCTTGATTATTATTAAAACTTCAAGTGGGGGAAGCGTCATTCACGTGATGTGTCGGGCTAAGTCTTTATAGTGATGATCATTTATCTGGTCTGATCAGAGGGATTCACGGGGCTCAAGCTCAAATCCAGCTTAACATGAGGGTCAAGAAATGTTGTTTCCGTCTGATCTAGGCTTTATGGGTGTTGATGCACCTGAATGAAGCAGAGGTTGAGTGTCAAAAATATTAAAGGTTTGGAAAGGGATTTGTGATGATAAAGTGACAGTTTAAGTTGCTATAAAAATTCAAGTGGTGACGGAGGTGAATAGTGCTGGATGTTGTGAAGTCACAAGGACCATAGATAAGGAGATAAAACTCCAGCAAGCGTTTAATTAAAATGCAAATAAATTACCGTATTTTCCAGACTATAAGCCGCTCTGGAGTATAGGTCGTATCTGTCAAAAAATGTCTCATGAAGAGGAAAAAACAATAAGTCGCTTCAGAGTATAAGTCATATTTATTTAGAAGTGTATTTCACAAACTGCAAGAACAGACATTTAATCTGAAATAACAATAACACACAGAACAGGCCTGGGATCCTGAACATAATTAATTAACATAACAAGCTAACGAGTCCGACAATCAAGCTACCAGTAAATTCACCAAGTTCATTCCACATCACTTTTGGGGGCATTTTGCTTGTGTTAAGTTTTTCCCGGTTGTCTCTAAGTGAATGTTTGCTGGGGTGGGGGTTCACGGTAGAGGAACAACATGTAGTTGTCAAAAGCCTAGAGGGCCCCCTCATGGCTACAAATGGTAATGTTTATTCTTTGGTTCATGTCAGTATGAATGAACATTTAACGCGCCAGTGAAAAATTGCATCATAAATAGGACTATAAGTCACAGGATTGGCCAAAATATGAAAAAAGTGCAACTTGTAGTCCAGAAAATACGGTAGATGCCAAATCCCAGGTCAAGCTTTTGTCTTTATTTGTGCATCAGAGCTCTTATGATGATAAAATAATATTAATAACAAAGTCGCTAAGTTTTTTAATCAAGGGCTACAAATAACATTTATTACTACCTAGTGTTTCTTGAAACATAATTTCAGTTTCACTGAATATTTATTATTTATGATGACAGAAAAACAATCTTGAAGATTTAATATTTGTGCGAAAATGTTAGATTATTTAATTTATTTATTCATTGTGATCGGCATGGATCTAAAGTAGCCTTAACAAGCTTTCATGTTGTATTTTATGTCATCATCTCATTCTTCTGTGAAGTATTAACACCTACTTATCTAGGATTTGGGAACGTGACCATTCTCAGTGTCGCAGATGTTTTATGTAGCATGTACCTTTTTACATTATAAACCAAGAAATGTGTCATGTGATGACTGAACGGAGAGTGGATGCACTTTCTGTTCTACGGAGTGTTGCCTTTTTTTGATTTACAGGATTTCTCAGTTTATCCACCAGTTTATAAGTAGCTCTTTATTTATTAGTGTGTGAATATGCTGAGTATTTTTATTTGTGCAATGGTGCCTCAACATGTTCTCATTCTGAAATATGGAAGATAAAACCTAAGGAGAAAACATGAGGGCTTAAAAAATCTCATCAAATCAAATACCCTCGTGTTTTTTGCTCTGATTGTTGTTTTTCAGCTCCATCTTTGGGTATTATGCAGGTGTAAGGTTCATGTTAGGGAAAAAAAGCCAAATAGTCTAATCAGTGATGTAAATCCACTAATAGGACTTACCCCTAAAATGAAGTTTTTCATCTTTATTTGCTACGCTACAATGTTTTGCATTCAAAAATTTTCACCTTGCTCCTGGGAAATAAATGGTAATTTAGTTGAATGTAACATTAGAACAAAGATAAAGAAAGTTATATTTTGTGACTCAACCATTTGTTTTGTCAATTTAGTTAAATATGATATTGAGATACACTTACTCTTTTCAATTTAGTTTCAATGTTCCCCATCTGTTAAAGATATTTATTTTAAGGCTTTATTATTTCAGACTGACTTTCTTTTGCGTGTACCGTACTTTCCGCCGTATACGTCACACCACTGTACATGTTGCATCAGTCCAAATATGTCTAATAAAGTGGGAAAAAAAACATAAATAAGTCGCTTTGCTGTATAAGTCTCTGGGCATGCAAAAAGGTGCAACTTATACGGCGAAAAGTTACAATTAATATTGAAAACAAGGCTTCGGTTGAAACTTGGAGACACGTGATAATAAATAAATAGGCCAGCTCTGCCTCTTAGGTTTTGCTTATTGTGCTAAAATAATCTGTCCTAAAATAAAAAAAGGAATATAAAGTCTGATAATAATCACAACATATTTGCTTTAAAGAAGAAAATAATTTGAATCAAAAGATGACTCAAGTTTTCAATGTCCGGCTGAAACAACCCTGATAAAAACACAGACAGAAGACTTTTTGTCTCTCTAAGTATAAATGGATCCAAACCTGCATCAGTCACAGACACCGCTGTCCTAACTCTACCCCCGTTTTCTCCTGGTGCTTGTCATTGACGAACAACAGCAACAATTTATGACATGACCAACCACACACAGCGGAGACCTTAAAACATTTACGACTTGTAAGGTTTGCTATTTTAGAGTCGGTTCGTTGTGAAGCAGGTATGTCACTTTGGAGAGGCTCCAACTTCAGCACAAAGCCAATTGTTTCTTGGGCACATTAGATGACCTTCAGTGCAGCTGAATGCACCCTGGATAAATGCATAGCTGTGAAATAACTTCCTATAAATAGTAAGGATGTCCTGATGTGTCATTGAAACCATACTGATATTATTTATCAAGGTAAAATCTAAATCATTATTATTCATCCTGCTGTGCAGCTTGTGATGCTTAAACAGCAACTCCAAGGATAAGAAAAAAATACAAAATTAGGAATTTGTATTAAAAAAACTGTGTTTGCAATGACGTACTTAAACAAAAAGTTTACATAAGCAATGTAACAAATGCTTTAATTTTTTTTTTTTTTGGAAAAGGATTTTGTTTTTAATTTTACTTAATTTTGATGGTAATTTTGGATGGTGGTACAGTAATACGTTATTAATGTCCCCTTACTTTATTTATATATTATAGACAAAGTGTCTCTGCCATTGCTTGTTGCTGAGAATTGAAGCCAGCTGGACCAGGAAGCTGCCATGTTGGATTTTAGGAACCAAGTGCACAAGTGTTTAGGTCCTGCCTACTTTAGGTCCTGCCTACTTTAGGTCCTGCCAACTTTAGGCCCCGCCTACTTTAGGTCCTGCCTACTTTAGGTCCTGCCTACTTTAGGTCTTGCCTACTTTAGGTCCTGCCTACTCTCCTGTACACAAAAAGTGTAACAGGTCCGACATGACTGAAGCAATTATAGCTAATCGAATTAGGAAAACTACTTTTATGACATAAAGCAGGAAAATAACAACTGCAAGAATTAACAGAAATCAACACCAGGTGGAACCAGCCTCCAAATAAAATTCATCCTGTTTCAGCTTCAACTTCTGGATTCGGGTTGATGGTCTAGTACATGGTAAATGTTAAATGGACTGTACTTATATAGCACCTTTCTATCTAATCAAGACACTCAAAGTGCTTTACACTACAATCTGTGCCCTCATTTACCCATTCATACAGCACTCTACTACATCTGTAACAAGATTAATCAGAGCTTTATCACTTTCATACACCAATAGGACACACATTGGAGGCAATGAGAGGTTCAGTGTCTTGCCTAGGGACATTTCGGCATGTGACTGCTGGTGGAATCAAACCCCCAACTTTTGCACTGGAGGACGACTGCTCTAACTACTAAGCCACAGGCACCATATGAAGCTTATACATCAAGAAAGTCTTATGTTTTGGGTCTTTCTGTGGGAGTTTGCACATTCTTCCAAAATATGTGTGAGTTTTCTCCAGTCTGGTTTTCTTCAAGTCCAAAAACCTGCATGTTGGGTTAGTTAGAGATTTTTAATTAACCTTAGGGGTAAATGTGTGCGTTCATGGTTGTATGTGTCTGTGTTGACCCTGTGACAAACTGGAGACCCGCCCAGTGCATACTCTGCTTGCTGGTTAAAAACTCCAGTTCTCCCCAGGCATCCTCTGTGTTCACAAGTTCAAACTTTACGTGCATCAAAAATAACTCTTAGGAAAGTACTGAGCAGGCGGTGCTATTCATTCAGACTCAGGATGTCGGTTTTCAGGTCCTCATTAAAAGTTGTAAGCGTCTGCGCTGCCACACATTAACAGCTGCTGCAGCAGCTGAATCACACCGCCCTCCTATGGTCACAGCAATACCAGCAGAACCTGAGGTTGTTTTCCCAGCACATTTCATTGAAATCCGATATTTTAAGCACAGTGAGAATAAATTATTAATAAAAACAAATAAGCAAGTGTCAAACCGAACATTTAGATGCAGAACCTGGCTTTTCACCACCACTAAATTATTCTATTTCCAAGGCAGCCTTGTGTTTGAAAACGTTTGATGCTGACCTCAAAGAATTTCTTTGTTTTCTGTGTAATTATCTGTGTGCGTCCTCTCCACACACCTCCATCTTTTACTGTCAGGAGTCAA